TGTTTGTTTGTTTCCACATGTAAATGTTTAACACAATTAAATTGTGTTCTACTTGTATTCCTCCTAAAAGCATTTAAAAGGGTAAATTGTAGGGGTATGAACTCACATTACGTGAGTCATTCGTTTGAAAGTTCGATATAAGATGTTATTTCCATGAGTGAAGTCTCGTAGCAAAACTGAGTCCTAATTATCATTTTATGTAATATATATGAATACAATTAGTGTATATAAACATAAGAATGATAAGGAATTTGGACTAATTTGTAAGTTTAACTTACAAATAAGAGTGTTAGAAGCAAAATGGAAGGCTGCTATAAGTTTACGGCTAGCCACAAGAGTTCACGGTCCTAGAAGATCTTGGTGTTCTTGGGTTTACGGTTGGGTGTTCTTGATGAAATGAAGGAGATTCAAGTGTTTACGGCTCAATGTTCTTGATGAAATGAAGGAGATTCAAGTGTTTACGGCCCAATGTTCTTGATGAAATGAAGGAGATTCAAGTGTTTACGGCCCAATTTTCTTGATGAAATATAGAACACTTGAAGATATAAGCAAGATCCTAAGAAGATTCAAAGGAGGAAGGATGATAGTTGAGAGAGAAAAGGTGTTCACGGTTGGAGTTCTTGAGAGTGAAGTGTGTTTTTTTGGCTGGAAATGAATAAGTGATGAATGATTTCGGTTGAACTCATATATATACACAATAGTTTTTGGTTGTAAACAAAGATCCAAGGGTTTACGGTTGCAAGGAGTGACTTATCGGCTGTGAACCGAGGTTTACGGCTGTGAACCTCGTTTGCGCCTGTGTACTCCATTTGCGGTCCGAGGGTTTATGGCTCGGATGAAGGAGGCTGCAAAGTGTTCTCGGTTCTAACATGTTTATCACTTATTAAACACACAACTCTTAAAAAGTTTTATACACCCATATATTATTAATCTAACTTAATAATATAAGTAAACAAATATATTTGACTTTTAATTGACATCCTTGACTTTTGTTGACGAAGGTTGACTTTTAAAAGATTGAAATTACGGTTTGTCACACCTGGCCTGGTTAGTCAATAGACTAAATACCGCTAAGCCTTTAGTACGAGTCTAGTATGCCCTTCCCGACACTCAGATCGTATCTGTAATGCTCATGAGTCCTCAGTCTGAGTCTGGCATGCCCTCCCTGGCCCTCAAATCATATTTGGCATTCTCTAGGGTTTGTTGGCTACAACACAAAGCAGTACAACCTTAGCCCAACCCACACAATATGTTGACATATAACAGATAATATCATAAACAGATAGCATACAATTCATAGGTAGTCCTACAGATCTACCAGACTAGCATAACAAGACTAGCATGCATAACTATATCATACTCAACATATCAACAATATTAGGTTATCAAACCAATTAGCCAACCTTGGTGCCTTTGACCCGAAAGTATAGTGAGGAAAACTCACCCCACAAGCAGCCGAACTGATAAGATCTAACTCTGAATCTCAGCTCCCGAATAAAAGCCTACAACCATCATGACCAACCCATCAAGACCTCAAAATACCCAAAATACCGTTAAAAGTCCAACTTGGTCAATCATGGTCAAAGTCAAAGTCAACGGTCAAGGTCAACAGTCCATGTTGACCCAACTCGTTGAGTGCACCTATCAACTCGTTGATTTTCTTTAGTATTCATAGAGGCGGGAAAATCCCCAGCCAACTCACCGATTTGGCTGGAAAACTCGTCGAGTTTTACCCTCTTACACATTCAGTCTTTTTTCATCAAGTCAAATGTTTCAAGATGTAGATCTAGCCCCCAAGAGCTGTAAAGTCATGTAAAGTTACTAACTTTACATTTATGCATGCCCCAAAAAGGCTCTTACTCTCAAGGAAAGTTTAATAAGGGATCTTAAGCATAAAAGAGGCCTAAAACTCAATAAAGTTTCCAACTTTAAGCCAAAAGAGGCCATCAAATGTCCGGATCTAAAGTGATAACTCCATGAATTGCTCAACCCCGTGAACAATCCCAAAATGAGACAAATAATGATAATAAACTTCCAAAGAATAGATTTAAGCAAATAAATGAGCAAATTTTCGACTTTTTACCTCAAAATAGTAGCTAAACTCAAGGAGATTCTAGATCTATAGCTTTCCCTTCAAGCTAGGCACCACCAACTTCAAGCTCTTTCAAAATGAGACCAAAAGGAGCAACTTTTAAGCTCACACACTCAACTTGGGGTAAGATGCACAAATTCTAGGGTTTCTAGGCAGAGGAGGTGATTAAGGAGGCCAAAAATGGGACTTAAGGCCTTTAAATGTAGTGCAATACCCTAAAAATTAGGCTTTCATATTCAACCACCAACTCATCGAGTTTTTCCTCACCAACTCGTCGAGTTGGTCCAAAAATACGCGCGGCCTAAAAGCCTTCAACATGTCGAGTTGAGGCCATCAACTCAATGAGTTCCAAGGGGAATTTGTCTTTTTAATAAAAATTCTCATACCTGGGAATCAGGATGCTACAAATCTCCCCCACTTGAACTAGGTTTTGTCTTCAAATCCTGCTACGGTCAACAAATCCAGATACTGATCCCACATCTCGGCCTCTGGCTCCCTGGTCCTCTAAGATCCCTTGCGATGCTGCCACTGTACATTTACCAAAGATATCTCCTTGTTACACATAACCTTTATCTTCCTTTCGAGAACATCCACCTAACTCTCGACATAATTCAAGCACTTATCAACCTCAATATCATCCAATGATATCACTGTATCCACGTCCAGTACGCACTTTCGCAACTATGAAACATGGAAAATGCTATGAATCTGAATAAGCTCCTCCGAAAGATCCAATCTGTACACAACCTTGCCAACCCTGAGAATAATCCAGAATGACCTGATATATCGAGGGCCTAACTTCCCCCTCTTCCTGAAGCGAATCACACCCTTCTAGGGTGAGACCTTCAGCAACACCATGTCACCGACCTGAAATTCCAACTCAGATCGGCGCTGGTCGGCATAACTCTTCTGGTGACTCTGAGCAGTCTTCAATCTTTGTCTGATCTGCTAAATCATAACTGCAGTCTGCAAAACCATATCGGTACGACCCATGACCCTGTGACCAACCTCCCCCCTAATAGACCGGGGTACGGCATCTCCGACCATACAAAAGCTCAAAAGGTGGGACACCACTACTGGAGTGGAAGCTGTTGTTGTAGGAGAACTTTGCAAGAGGTAAGTAGGAGTCCTAGCTCCCACAAAAATCAATGATGCAGGCTCGCAACATATCCTCTAGAGTCTGAATGGTTCACTCGCTATAGGTGTCGGTTTGTGGATGATAAGTTGTGTTGAAATGAAGCCTCGTGCCTAGTTCCACATGGAACTTCTGGCAGAAACGGGAGGTGAACCGAACATCACGATATAAAACAATAGAGACTGAAACCCCATGGTGAGCAACGATCTTGCGAATATACACATCGGCCAACTTCTTTGCCGACGAGCTCTCCCAAATTGCTAGAAAATGGGCACTCTTGGTCAATCGATCTATGATGACCCAAATAACATCGAACCCTTTTCCATCTTTGGCAACTTGGTGATGAAATCCATCGAAATCTGCTCCCCATTTCCACATGAGAACCTCTAGAGGCTGCATCTTTCTATGCAGCCTCTGATACTCGGCCTTGACCATCCTGCAGGTCATGCACCTCTTAACAAACCAGACAATCTCCCTCTTCATGCATGGCACTAATAACTCAACCTCAAATCCTGATACATCTTGGTGGCCCCTGGATGGATAGAGAAGCGAGACTTATGAGCCTCCTCCAACATGATGGTCTGACCCCCACCAGACGTAGGAACCCATACTCTACCACAATGGGCCAACAAACCACAACTGTCTGGAGCGAATCTGGTAAACTCACCCCTGATCCTCTCAATCTTCAAATTCTCCTCTCGAACATCCTTAGTATGAGCCTCTCTAATGAAACCCACAAGTGGAGAATCCATAGATATCCTCATACATGTCATCTGAATAGAAGATCCAACCGACTTGCGGCTCAAAGCATTTGCCACTACATTCACTTTACCAGGATGGTAAAGAATATCGCAGTCATAATTCTTGACTACATCCAGCCACTTGTGCTGCCTTATGTTCAGGTTCTGCTGATCCATAATATGCCTCAGACTCTTGTGATCCGTGTAGATAGTACAACAAACCTGTTCATTTTATGAGATTATTCTTCGACCTGTTCGTCTACCACAACGACATGTCGTTGTTGCTGCTATTTCATACTATCTTGACTATTTTTCTTCCTAATCCTAAATTGGTTGTTTGAAATGGTGTTATATGTTTCTTTTCCAGTTCATGCAGGGTAGGGGTCGCTAAAATCAACCACAAGGGGGTTGTCCTGATTTCTCGTGGTACTCTTTCCCAAATGTATAACACCCAAGGTTATGGTTCAATGGAATGATAAGTTAGCTTGGTTGAAAGAAAGGAAAGTGAATATCCCTATGGAAATTAATTGGAGTTGGATGGAAGAGGTTGGCTTGTCGAATGCACTTATACCATATCTAACAAAGTCTTTTGATGGGGTACAAGGCCGATTTGTTTGTATGGCTTGGAGACACCTTTTTCGGATTTAAGAACCTGTTTACAAGGAGTTATGTGTGGAATTCTTGTCTAATGTTTATTTATGCAAGAAAAAAGGCATTCATGATAGAAAAAACATCACTTTTTATTTGGGAGGAGAAAGAAAGGAATTGAGTTTGGAGGAATTTGCATTGAGGACGAAGTTCTATTTACCGTCTGAAGTACACACAAAATCATACATTGAGTTTATTGCTTAATGTCCTAATTCAAATGACAAGCTCAAGGAAGCCAATTATTGGCCCAATATCGCCAATGGGATCTACCAATTAGTAACAACTTAGGAAAGTGATATACGGTCTCCCCTCCATTGCCTCTTACACTGATTAATTACAAACACCATCAACTAAAGGCCATAAGGAGAAAAAGTCCCGATTTTCGATGTATTTTATCTTTGGAGCCTCATTTCTCCGGGGGTAATTATTGATATTCCTTGTCATGTGGCCAATTTTCTAGCAAACCGAGCAGCAAAGGATCGTTGGGGGTCACCTTTGTATGGTGGCATGTTGATCACGATATTGGCTAAGTCGTTTGGGGTTTTCCAAAAACGGGAAGCCTTTATGCTAACTGTGGAAACTAGTAAACCTTTTATGCTAACAATAGGTTTGGAAACTTCTTAATTTCGAATGACAATCCAAGAGACCAAGCAAGGAGGAGAGTGAGACAAAGGCCTGACGATGCGGAAACAGAACCCCCCGTGATTCCTACCGAAGATGAGTTACCGATGAATCCTTATAATGTTGCCATGCGTCGTTATCAAGACAATTTGGGAAGAGGTATTAATTACACCAATATGCACCTCGATCTTATGATACAACACATGAACATCCAACGCCCGAGCGAGTATCCGGTCTCATACCCATACATCCTAGCTTGGGACGAGCTTTGGGTGGAACAACATGGAGGAGCCGACGGAAGTGGATGAGGAAATTATGACGAGTGAATTATCCTTTTTATTTTTGGTTGCTTGATTGGTTTTAAGACAATGTTATTTTTTATTTGTTTGTGCTTGGTTTGTTTAATTTTTCTAGGATTATGGTAATTTTAGGATTTAAGTACCTTGTTTGATTTGTTTTCTTGTTATTATCGTTTATTATCTCTAGATTTCCCAGAAGTTCGAGTTTGATGAGAGGAGTATATTTTGAGAGACTTTGATGAATTTAAATGAGGGGTTAGGAATGAGGTGAGAGAGATGAATTTGAGCATATAGAGAGTTTATTTGATCACACGAGCTGAAGAGTCCATTTTCAAAAGTTTATATCATCATTAGTGACCAAGTTATTGAAGAAATCGGCTGTTGGGATGAAATTTCACAATTTTTTACACATACCACGACATGGTCACAATAACCATGACGTAGTGTCATTACATAATACGTATTCTATTATTCGAATACATAACACGACGTGGTGTCCCTAATGTTTGAATTGGGGTATAGAAAACTTGGAAATTTTGAGAATTGTGGCTTTCACTTTCAGATTAAAGTATTTGGGTGGTATTCCCAATCTTTAATCGGATAAGACTCAGAATTGAGAGAAAACAAAAGAGAGAATATTTTGATGTTATGAAGAAGAAGTGTCCCAACCACAGATTCGGATATGATCATATAACAGAAAAAACTTCCTGTCTAAAAACTACCACATGACAGTTTTATGTCCTAAAACTGTCCACAAACGGTCATAAACAACCTTAAATCCAGGTCTAGAATATCGATCCCAGCCAGGGGCTCTGCCTCTTGGACCCCGCCAGGGGCTGCCGCCCCTTGGACCTCGCTCCCAGGGGTGCTGCCCCCGGACCCCCGTCGGTTTAGGGCTTCACCCCTAAATAGCAATATACTTTCAACAAAGACAAAATTAAACAAATGTGCACTCCACACCATACCGATTTGTTCAATAATTGTCAAAGTGACATTGATCAACAAATTAACCCCGTTACACTTAAATAACGTTAGTGATATAAAATCACCAACACCTAACATGACGTGGTGACAGTCTCAAGTTCAATTTTCGAGTCTTTTTCCTACACCTAATGACGTACGAAATGTCAAAGTCATAAAGACAAGTTCTATAGCAGTTTACCACTTCCATATTGACCCACATATTAGTGAGCTATTCTACATACAAACAACATGATCCACCTTGCAACTTCTATTCCATGGGAGTCTGTTCCTTTTTTCTCACTCTTTACTTTTATGTTTTTCATCGCATGCAATGAGGACATTACATTAAATAAGTGTGGGGTTGGTGGTTGATTGCATTACAAGCATTTAATTTTTGACAAAAAATTACATCATCATAAAATTGCTACTTTTTGCAATATGCATTCACATAAACTTGAAATAATAGTTTAATTTAGGAAAATCTAGTCAATTAATTTTTTTTGCTAGTGTTGTGTGGGATGATCCAATGAGAACTCAAATGTTTACCGAAGCCAACATATGTTATTTACTTTTATGTTTTGCATCGCATGCAATGAGGACATTGCATTAAATAAGTGTGGGGTAGGGGTTGATTGCATTACAAGCATTTGAATTTTGACAAAAAATTGCATTATCATAAATATGCTAGTTTTTATAATATGCATTCACATAAACTTGAAACAATAGTTTAATTTAGGAAAATCTAGCCAATTAATTTTTTTCTAGTGTTGTGTGGGATGATCTGATGAGAGCCCAAATGTTTACCTGAGCCAACACATGTTATAGTGTATTTGTGGTTTTCCTTTCTTTGTAAAAAGTCATGAGATATGAAAGATAATCTGGTAGTTTGTACGATGTAATAAGTTTTGCAGCGTGTACCAGAAATCCATCCAGGGGAGCTTATGTAGCCATTGCACTTAGACTAATACCTCTAACAAATAAAGGTTGAAGTTAAGCTCATTACTTAAGCATGTAGTATTTGAATGAAAAAAGGGAGATAAAAAAGAAAAAGAGAGAAATTACAAACAGTTGAAAGAATTTTGGATCTATAAAAGTATGAAAATCAAAAGATCAAAAATTCTGAAGAATCAAAAGTTGAAGATACCAAAAATCAAAATAGATGGTGGTGAATTCAAAGAAATTGCAAAGCAAATATCAAGGAAGAGATGAATTCAAAGAGGTCCATTGTGGTATCAAAGTTGTTATTCTTTCCGAAATATATGTATACTTGGTAGTTTAACCAAAAATATCTTGAGGTTAAGAAATATTTCTGAGGATGGATTTGGAGGGTTGCAAAAATGAGTGTCATATAAACTAAGTGGTGAAGGTTCATAAGGATTGTGAGTATTTAGGAATGAGAAGTTTGTAGGAATTATAGACACAAATACATGCATTGCGGTCTTGGGATAATGACTAAGTTTTAAATGAATTGTTTTACGTAGTATTGATAAGTTAAAAATCAGTTTGCTTGGGGGCAAGTAAAGATTAAGTGTGGGGTATGTAGATATGCTCTTATATATATATATATATATATATATATATATATATATATATATATATATATATATATATATATATATTACATCATATCTTAATTTTTTTAGTCATTTTTATGCTCATTATAGAACAAAAGATACTTAATCTATTCTATGTTGTGTTGTAGGGGTAAAAGACATGATCGGAGCAAAAAGGAAGCTGGAAGCTAGGAACTTGGATCAAGGCTAAAATAAAGAAAAGTCCCATTCCCACGTTGTGATGGCATTACCACGACATGGCGTTTTGAAGTTTCCTGTCGAACCTCGAAGACTTGTGGATTACGTGATAAACCCGAAGACCACGTCGTGGTGGACCAAATTTGAGAAAAATATAAACAGAAGGGACATTCCTTCGAAAACTTGACTTTTGCTGGAGCTTTTGTCGAGTTTTGAAGACCAAGAACGTACTTGGAATCTTGGAGTTGCGGAAGATTGATTAAAACTTGAATTTGAGAGATTTGAGGCAAAATGTCTTATTAATACTTTTTCTTCTTGTGTTTGATCATGGATTACAAGTTGAATTTCGTTTTTATATGTTTGTTTGCTAAAATCATGGGCTAAAAAACCTACTTTCATTTAGACTAGATTACTTGCTTATCTATGGTTTGATTTGTGGATTGGATTAAGCTAAGTTAGTTATTTGTTATTTTAGCTTATTAAAGAACCTCTCTATGCTTATGATAACTACTTATCTGTTTATTTTTAAGTTTAATTAAGTTTGCATGACCATCATTCTTGATTAAACTTGAATATTATGATCTTGTGAATTGCAATATTGTAGGACTAGTGTTTTGACCAAAACCTAGGGTTAAATAGAAAAGTGAGTAAGTAATTGTAGGAGTTAATATACGAGGAGGAATCACATATTGAATTAATTTAATTAACCAAATTGATCAATCCATTATAAGTCTAATATAACACGAAACGAACACTAGTAAATTTGTTAGTTTATCAGCCTGACCACCGTATGAATGAACTTATTTGCTAAAGGATTAGGTTAGTGAACATTAACCTGGTCATCTTAGGAATCGGTAACTAACGAATAATTAATCCACTGCACTTCCATTAAATCATTCATAACAACTGTATTGAAGCTAAACGGTAGTCTCTCAATTATCTTGGTTAAAATCATATTTTGTGTTTCTTGCTTATAGTTTTGCTTTTTGTTTCATTAGTTCATAATTAGTTTTAGTTTGATTAATTAAGTTTCTAGTCTTGAAAAACTAGAGAAAACCCCCTTTCTTTTATTAAATAGTAGTTTAGGTAATTAGTAGATAAATTAGCTAATAATTATGTTCCTTGTGCTCGACTATTTGTGGTATTCTATTTTCGACTAGGTACACTGCCTTAGGAGTAATATTTAGTTATATTAGTAGGTTAAAACTATTGCATAAGTATTTCATATCAGTTCACTTTATTCCTTGTAAAAAGACAACATATGCAGTTAATGTGGCTCAATTATTCTTTCGAGACGTCTACCGTTTGCATGGATTGCCGTCTTATATTGTTTCATATCGAGATACTAGGTTTTTGAGTAATTTTTGGCACATCTTGTGGAAAATGGTGAACACTCAGCTGAATTTTAGTAGTGCATATCATCCTCAAATGGATGACCAAACAAAAGTTGTCGGTCGAGCACTCGGTAATCTTTTGTGGTGTTTAGTGGGTGATCATGTCAAGGCCTGGGATCAGAAACTTTGTCAAGTTGAGTTTGCTCATAATCATGCTATCAACCAAAGTACGGGATTTAGCCCATTCCAGGTGGTCTATTCTATTCAGCCATGGGGACCACTTGATTTGATGTCGCCTCCTATTTTTGGGGTTGTTCCAAAGAAAGTGCAGGATTTTGTTGAAGGACTACATGATGTTCATAAGGTTGTTCATGACAACTTGGTTCGAGATAACTCCAAGTACAAGCAAGATGCAAATAAAAAACGCAAACAAGTTGATTCTGAAGTAGGTGACTTTCTTTGGGTTGTTTTGACTAAAGATCGTTTTTCGGTTGGGGAGTACAACAAGTTGTCAACCAAGAAGATTTAACCAATGGAGATTGTGGAGAAGATCAATTCCAATGCTTATCATGTGTAGTTTCCAAGCCACATTCATTGTTCCGATGTTTTCAATGTAAAACATTTGCTTCCTTATTATGGGGATTCTTCAGATGGTGACCATGGTGCACAATCGAGGTTGAATTTAGTCTACACAGGAGGGGATGATGCATCCCCTAGTGTGGAGGATCGGACCCTTGCATTCATAGAGGCCCACGATCGTGTGACTAAAGGGGATTCACGAAAATGACCATAAATTTTGTACTTTGGTGCAAGTTGGATGTTAACGGTGGTTAACAATGATTTTACAATGTATTTATATGTATATAACTTGATGGTGGTTAAATAATGGCAGCTTACTGTTTATGTATATGTCTTCATGTGGTTTACTTTGATGTCTTTTGTTTTTTATTCACGTATATAC